CTGCAGTCGGCCGTGCCGGTGGCCCGGGGGCTGCCTCCTGGGTTAGGACAGCAAAGAGCAGTCTTTGCACAGCACATTACTCCCAAAATAACTCCCATTCAACACAGGCCTCTGCCAGAGGGGATCCACTGGGTCTACAGCCTTGGTGATCGGAACGGCTCTCCCAGAGCGGCTGGAGGCCTCGCCAGCCCAGACTGCGAGGGAACAGCCTTCAGAGCCGACCAGGGCTCGGGCCATCGTCATGAATAAATACTAAAGCTGATACGGATCAGGAAGATAGGCCTGCGGCCTGGTGGCTCTAGAGCCCTGCCACGCTCGTGGGATGTCCTCCCAGGGCTCTGCACCGGGACTAGGGCGGGCGGCTCTGGGAACACCGGCCCCTCTGAGTAGGTAACGCTGGGGTTCAATCAGGCTCATCCTGGTAGAGTGTGGGCTGTGTGTGTGTGTGTGTGTGTCCGTCTGTCCGTCTGTCTTCCTGGTTCATCGGTCTGCAGTCCCTGGCCACCACCCATCTTCCCAGACAAAATGGTCCCTATCTCGTGAGAAGTGGCTTAAAACACAGGCCGGACAGATTTCTGGGCAGTTCATGCCCGTGTGCGACTCTGTCCAGAGGGCAAGTGAATTAAGCTTTCCGGGGGAGGCCAGAGGGTCCCCATCTACACAGGTCCTCTCGCCGACCCCACCTCTGGACGGCTCCAAGCTGTCCACCTCAGCGACGACTCTAGTGTCTGTGCAACGGCATGGGGACGGAGTTTTGGAGCCGCTGTTGTGACACAGTTACCGTCCTGACCTGGGCACGGCCCGCACGTATGTGTGTGTCTAGCCCGGTATGGGGTCCTCCTCACACCAAGCCTGAGCTGGCGCAGGTCGCTGTGGCAGCCATGCCCTTCTGGTTTAGACAAGCTCGGGGTGGGGTGGGGGGCCTCTCTGGGGAACAGCCGGGATCCTGCAACCTTTCGGGGCTGGTCTGTCCTGATGTCAGCGTCCCACCCCAGGTCCCCAAGGCCAGCCCTGCTCTGTCCTTCCATCCTCACATCATGGCCGTCGTTCTCCAAAGCCAGGAGCCAGGGCCCAACCTTCCCAAGAGAAGACAGACATCCCAAGAAAAGCCAAAGGCAAGTTCTTTTCTGCCCCGATCAGAGCTTCCTTTGCTGGCGAGGCTGTGCCAGGTGCGGGGACGCCCCGTCTCGGAAGGACACCCAATCCCGCTCTGGGCAGACTCTTCTTGGATGGCCTCTGAGAGTCTCTCATCCTCCTGTCACCCTCTGGTCCCGCCCCCCAAAACCTGGCCCAACCTGGGGAGAGGAGGAGGGGGTACAGGGGGATGGCAGCGGCCGTGAGCGGCCCGTGGGGAGCGGCAGGGGGGCAGGGGTGCGGGGCGGCGCGTCACAGCCACGCCGGGGCCACGACGCCTGCATCCAGGTCGCCAGTAGCTTTGCAGTGTGTGGCTCTCCCCCCACGGCGGCTTCACTCATCTGTCACCTCCACAGAGGCCTCGTCCTTCCTCTCCTCCGACTGCTCCTCCGTGGTCTCCGTGTTGTCCGTGTCGGACAGCGAGGCCGCCTGCTGCACCCAGTCCCTGTCCCGGAGAGGCTTTGGGTCGCACGGTCCGGAGAAGGGGTTGAGCCAGTTCGGGGAGAAGTCCCCACCAAAGGTCTCTTTCACCGACCTCCAGCTGCCCCTGCGCTCCCTGGGCTGGTGCTTTCGTTTGAGGCGCTCGATGCCCTGGAGGGTCAACGGGATACAGACGGTCAGCGGGGGGTGAGGGGGGCAGCCGGGACACGGCCCGCCCGGGGCCAGGTCAGTGGGGCACGAGCGGGGTGGGGGGGGCGGTGGGGAGCGGCACAGCAAGCAGGGGCCGGGGTCCCCCCAGCCTCGCTAGGTCAGGCCAGGCTGCCGAGGCGCCCAGGGCCGAGGAGTAACATGGCACTGGCCCTGAGAGCACTAAGAAGATGAGTCCTCCCTGGGGATTCTGGGCCCCGCCCCGCGCCCCCCCCCCAGCAGGTGCAGCCGACTCAGCATGAAGAAGGGGTGCGGGCAGGAAGGGGAGAGCGCGGGGCACGAACACGGGGGCCGAGGAAGCAGACTGTGTGCATGCGGCGGGCAGCCGGGGGGCGCACAGGCTCGCTGTGGGGAGGCCTGGCTTGGGCGGCAGGCGCGCCCTGCGACTGCTCCCAAGCTGCCCACTCACCTGCCGCGGGGCATCGGTCGGCTGCGACTCAGCTGCCAGGCCCCAGAAAGAGGGTGTGGGGGGTGGGGAGGGGAGAAGCCCGTAGGAGTTAAAGGCGCAGCCAGGTCAGCTCTCCAGGCCACAGCACCCTCCACAAAGGCTTTCAGCCCCACCGGGGCCTCTGCCTTCTCCGCCTCTTCCGGAAGCCAAGGGAAATTGCTGGGGTTTGCCAGGCACGGGCACTGCTCATTCACACGACTCATTCCACCTCAGAACGACCTCTGAGGACCTCGTTCTGGGTTCTCTGCCACACAAGAGACTCACATAACTGGTATGATCCCTTCTGTTATGCAGAAAGAGAAACTGAGGCACACACACAGACTGAGACCTGCCCCATCCTCTGGGCCAGTTCTTCTCCAGAACTCTCTCTTCCCACTCCATCTCAGAGATTAAAGTTTCTCGGCTCTTGAAAAAAATTGTCGTTTAAAGAATCTGATCTCAAGGTATCTCCTTGGAAGATACTAATGACAAAGGGCAAACCAGTGAGGGAACTTTGCAGGTATCACCTTAACTGGATCAAAGGTAACATCGCCTCAGTGCCTTTCTTGCCCCAAACGCATAATCTTGATTTAATTGCGAGAAAACATTAGACGCAAATCGAAGGATATTCTACTGGATACCTAGCCTCTAATCTTCAAAAGGGTCAAAGTCTGATGAAAATGCTTTGGAACCAGACAGAAGTGATGGTTGTGCGGCATTATGAGTATACTCAATGCCAATGAAGTGCACACACTAAAGCGGTTGGCTTTATGTTATGTGAATTTCATCTCAGTTTTTTTAAAAAGGGGGGTCAAGTTCATGAAAGAAAGACAGGAGCGTCACGGATTGGAGCAGACCACACAGACATGACAAGCGACGCAATGGGACAGACAAGGGTCTCCGGGGGGGCACCTGGAGAAATCCGAATGAAGCATGTAGATCCGTTAAGGGTCTCAATCGATACTGTTCCCGGTTTTTGTACTTGTATTGTGGTTATATAAAATGGCTCCCTTTGGAAAGACTGATGGAAAGATGTACAGGAGCTCTTTGAGCTGTTTTTGCCACTTTCTTGTAAGCCGGAAATTACGTCCCCACAATAAAAGGTTAAAAAAATAATCGGAGACACAAAGATGTGAGCAACAGAATCTTGAACACTGAGTAACAATGTGACAAACTGGAAACACTCGAAATGCCCACAAAGATGGCTAAGTCTGCGATTCGACAAAGTGAAACACGACACAGCCATGAAACAATGGTGTTGATACAGTTCTGCGTCACATTGGAAAATCCCGTCCACTGGTGACAAGGCAAGAAAGCCAGGTTAGTTGCACCTGATGTCATGGGACCTGTGTTACCTTTGGGGATGATGGGGTCTGAGGTGGTTCGTATCTATTTCTGTGGACTTCCCACATGTTGCAAGCTTTCACCAACGAGCGGGTGTTACTGTCATAATCAGAAGAGAAGAGCTGTTTCAGAAAATGGACCTTGCTGGCAACTCTTCTGAGGGAGCCTCGCCGTAGGTCAAGAGCCTGGGATGCTGTGCTGCTCATGGACCGGCCCCTCGCCAGGCCTCCCTACTTAGCAGAAGCTGCAGGGGCCACCTGAGGGGTCTTGCTTTGGGGGATGCTGTGTTCCCTTCCCGGGCAATCCTTTGCAGCCTGTCAAGAGAGGCGTTTGAAACACGATTTCAGGGAAGCTGGGACATCAGGAGGCAGGGCAGGCGACAGAGGGGACACCCAGAAATGGCAGATAGACTGACTCAAAGCCATGACTGTGGGATCCTCACAACCACCCTGACAGGAGGTGGGTGTTGGTACTGACACTTGGCAGAGGGGAAAACAAGAGGGTCTGAGTGGCCAAAACTTGTCCTGTTGGTCGTCGGAACCGGGGCGAGAACCAGTGTCTTCCTTCTGCCCAGGGCGTTTTCAATCCTCCTACAAATTCTTACTCTACCTGTGCTGACCACCAAGGCAGAGGAAAAAGCCAGAGAGGGAGAGGAAGCATAAGAGCCCACAGGATGACTGTGTTCCGTGGCAAGCACTCTGGGATGACACTCAACCTCTTCACCAAGCTCGTAAGAACATTCCAGATCAGAGCCCAGCCCATCCACCAGATGAAGTTCCTGAGCAGGTAAGTGGACAAACATCCAGGTCAACTCTGAGTCGGGACAGAAGAAAATATTCCAAACGCATCTGAGGCCTAAGAGAGGTCTGAAAGAGCCAGGGGTCAGGAGGAGCCAACGGGGTTTCTTTCTCCTGGTAGGACTCAAGTTTGACTTTTGTGTGGATTTACAGGCGTGCTGAAGGCAAAGTTCTTCAGCTGGAGGTCTGCAGAGGCAGCAGTATACCCACTTCAGGCCCAGGCGAACAAGAACGGTTGATTCCTGGGAGCCAACATCTCTTGTAGGGAGGGTGTGACTGGGGGCTTCGGGGGCCCCCTCTGCCAGGATGACACATGAGCTGTAAGCTGCGGGACCCACCAGAGTCCCCAGGATGAACGGACCAGGCCTAAGGCTCCTGAGGGAGGCAGAGACCCAAGCACAGGCTTTGTAAGGACTTAGCTGAGACCCACGGAGCCAGAGCTCATTGTACGCCCCCCCACCGTCATCAGACGGAGAAAGTTGGCAACGCTGCTGCCCGCGCCACGTCCCTCCTCCTTAGATGGCCAGAGATCACTGTCTCTTCATCTGTAGTTTCACGTCCTTCTCCAACCCACAACTTGGACAATACTTTTCTGGGCAACCCGGCACCGCCCCCCGCCGAGTTTCACGAAACGATACTTAGTCCATAACTGTAACCCATTTTTATTTATTTATTTTTTAAAAAGGCCGCTGCACACCAACAAACTGGTCTCACAGATCATGAACCTTGTGACCGTGGTTTGAAGAGCAGAGGTCTAGCAGCGCTAGCGTTTACTGAAGCCACACCGGGTGCCGGACGCCATCCTCACAGCTCCGGTCACGACTCTCATTCAGTCCTCGCCTTGACCTTGTGATTTACATGGCCTCCCTGGTTTGACAGGGGAGATCACGGAGGCTTAAAGCAGATCACAGAGGCTTAAGTCAGCGACGGTCCAAAGTCACACTCGAAGGATGTCACTGAGCAGGGCCTTGAACCAGAGACTGGGTGGGGCCAGGGGCTAAATGCCCGGTCACCAAGCTATGTAAGCTCAGCAGCAGAGAGATTCGGGGCATCCTTATGTCCACAGATCAGGACATGTGCTTCCCCCAGGGACTTCTGCAAACACTCCTCCTTGGCTCCCGTGTGCGCGGGTGGACCCCTGGGGGCGACTCCGATTTGCTAGGGTCCTCATGGCAGTCATGCCACCGAGGACTTGTTTCCTGAGGGAGAGGGTGGGGGGATGAAGTCTCCACTTGGGGACAGTAGACTGGCCAGCAACTGGTTTCCGTGTCACTGTGAAGGCTTTATATCCACTGAACCCCTCGGTGCAGAACCCAGGTGGACAGATGAAATGTGGAGGACTGCTGGCCAGACTAACAGTTGAGCTCCCCGTCAAGCCAACAGGCTTTTCTTGTTTGCTCAGAATCATTTGCTGGGGAGGCTGTGGGTGGTAAGGGGGAGACGGTCTCCCGGTCAGCCCACCCCACCCAGCACCACATGGGACCATATCGTTGGCAGGCATCAGGGACCGACCACCTCCGGGGGACCCCTGCACGCCCCACAGGGACTCTCGGACTTGAGCGCGTGTCAGTCTCTTGGAGAGCTGTTCAATCCAGACTGCTGGATTTCTGGTTCAGTAGGTCTGGGGCGGGGCCTGAGAACGGGCATTTCTAACAAGTGCCTAGGTGATGCTGATGCTGCTGGTCTGGGGACCACACTCGGAAACACACGGCCTCCGGGCACCACCAGCAAGAAGATCCTTGGGAGGGATTCTAGCAAGATCTTCCTCTTTTCCCATTTCTTTGGTATTTAAGGGCCCCTTCTATGTTGAGACCCCTGGCTCAGGTGGGTGGCTCACCCTTGGGGCTGATGCACTTACAAGCCCTGAGAAGAGAGGAACTTAAGGCCCATTAGCCTGGCTGGGGGAGCCCAACGCGGCCTCCGGAAGCCTCCGTTTTCTGGGTGATGCCCACCTCCCACAGCTGGTTCAGAAACAGTTCTTAGTCCCCCTCAGCCAACAGATCCCTGGAGCAGGAAGGTGGCTCGTAACTTTCTCGGCAGCCGAGCCTGAATGAGAAAGTACTGGTCATTCCAGGTGTCTCGCTTTGGTTCTTCTGAGATGAAGTATTCCACGGAAGAAACGGTGTGGCACACGCGTTGCTCCCCAAACTGACTTTGTGGGCACGAGGTCACCAAGCCCGGGCCCAGAGGCGGAGATCGGCCTGGATGGAGGCCTATGCATGTTCAGCTCAGTTGCTAGGAGCACACGCCTGAGGTGGCCAGGCGGGAAGGAGTCACCTAATCCAGCTCGCCACGTCACCTTCCTCTTTGTCTTTCCCTGCCACGCTCCAGGGCCCAGGCTCTGAAAGACCACGGCTGCCATGAGCTCAATGCCCAGCGCGCACCACCCAGCACTGTCGGAGCGCCTGTGCCGGAGCCAAAAGCCGGGGCCGCCTTTGTGTGGAGACATGTCCTCTGTCCTCAGCTGTCTGGGAAGGCTGCGGGGATGCTCAGGGATGCCCGTTTCTTCCTGTGGGGATGCCAGGTTGCGGGCCGATCACTCCACAGCCCCATCCCTAGTCACTGAGCTCCCGGCAAAACGTCTCCCGCTTTGATGAAAGCGAGCGAGAAAAACCACAGGGAACCCGGGGTTTTCCTCTCTTCCGAGGGCAGCATTTCCCTCTGGCTGAAAGGCTTGTAAAAGCCCTCCCTGTCCCTCGTACAGGATGTGGAAAGCAGCCTTGTTCTCTGGGAAGGATATGCATAGGACGCTCAGATTTAAAGGATGAATTTCTAGGTTTAGGACTCTAAAAAAATAACATCAGTATGTTTTCAGCACTATCTACTGCACTTCTCAGACATTCCATGGGAAAAAGAACCAACCTGGGTCACTTTAAAAAAAAAAGTGCCTTGGGTGCCTGGGTGGCTCAGTCGTAAATTCCGCTCAGGTCATGATCCCAGGGTCCTGGGATCGAGCCCCCGTATCGGGCTCCCTGCTCCGCGGGAAGCCTGCTTCTCCCTCTCCCACTCCCCCTGCTTGTGTTCCCTCTCTCGCTGTCTCTCTCTCTGTCAAATAAATAAATAAAATGTTTAAAAAAAATTAAAAAAAATTTTTAAAAAGTGCCTTGAAGATGGGAGTCTTTGGAGGGCATCCCAATACGCAAAAACATTCCCCCGGCAGGAGGACCAGATGCAGCGCCGCCTCCCAAGGGAGTGGCAGGAGCGGGCCAGAGCCCTCAAGACCGCTCTAGTCACAGCCACACTTCTTCACACACCTCAGTAACCGTTAAAAAGGAAAAAAAAAAAGGGAGCCCATGGGAAACAAATGCTATAAACTAGATTTAAACACTAGATTAAAAACAAACAAACAAACAAAAAACAAACCCGCTTCAGACCTCAGCCTTGACTTAGGGCATCAAGAGCACAGGAGAGGCAAGCCGGGGTCCACTGCCTTGGGGATGGCCGTGGAGTTCTCTGGTGACACGGGAGGAATGAGGAGGAGCTCCTCAAAGTGCTGGAACGGCCTGTGGAGGTTTCCAGCGCCTTCCTCTGGCTCGACGCTGCTTTCTGCTGGGTGCGCAGAGGGAAACGGTCTCTCGCCCGTGCCGGGCGCTCCAGCAAACTCTGCAGATGGGAAGGTGTAACCTGGGATTCAGGCGGCAGAAGCCTAACGAGAGGCCGGGGGTGGTGGGCAGGCTCGGTCAAGGGCGGCTGGCCAACGTATCCTTAGAAACAGCACAGCGGACATCTCATGCAAGCGGAGGAGCAGAAATAAATATCCTTTAAGAGCCATGGAACAGAGGCCCTACCGTAGCCAGCACGCCTGGCCCGGACGATCGGCTCTCCCTGAAGGCAGCAGGGAGAGAGCACGGCTCAATGAGAACAGGTTTTGGAAAAATTTTATTGCATTTTGTTTCCATGTGGAAGCACGGACAGAATTGAAAAGACGCAGCATGTTCCACTTAACTGTTCATGGAAAAATCACATGGCTCGATGAGCTTCCTCCCTAACCTGGATTGGGTTTCATAAACCTTATCCCCCACCCCACCCCAAGCACAAGCTAAAAAAGGTTTGTGGTGATCACTTATAAAAAACCAAATCCACATGTACGAACTCACAGATGGTCAGTCCTCTGATTTCTGTGACTTCTGCATTGGCTGGGCCCTCCCTGTCCCTCGGCCTCCTCCTGTCCCCACTCTCTTCCGGCCTTCCTCCTGGAAGGGGGATTTCACAGGGGAAGTGCCTCCGGGGGGCAAGGCCGGTTCCCGGGAGCGGGGTGGCCGTCCACCAGCTTGCAGAAGTCTGGGGGCCATAATGCCGACCTTGCCGGGACGCCGGCCTCCCAGGTTAAGATACAGATAAGACATGGCTACGTGCACACGTAGGTGTCTAAAACATCAGAAAGGGAACCTGCTTTAGAGATTTACAAAATGGGGTGGAGGGGGTTGACGCGCTGCGGGATGTGGCCGTGTCACTCAGCATTAGCGCCGCTAACCGGCCACCTTGCGGGCAGGGCGACAGGGAGGGGTGCTAAGAGTAAGCAGCCGTGACAAAGGCAACCTGAAATCACATGATCTGTTTTCTCCTTTTGACTGTGTAAGGCATTTAGAGCTGGAAAAACTTCGCTCCTGCACACTCTTCCAAATAATCAGCAGGAATACAACTGGTGATTTGGAATACAAATAAGACCCCTTTGACCCCACCTCCCCCAAAGTCACTCAACACACCCAAGCCCATTGAGTACAAGGAGGCAAACCGTGTCCACGCTGGGGGATGAGGCCGCGGAGCCAAGGGCCCTTCTTAGGGCTCCGGCCCTGATCCTGCCCCTCGCGGCCACACGAGGTAAGCATCCGTCTTCGGTGACGCTTTAAGTCCCACGGGGGCGCCTGCCACGGCCTCCCGGGCAGCAGGAGGTCACGGCCCCCTGCCTCTCCTACGTACCCCCCACCAGGCATCCAGGCCCGTCCGTCCACGCGCCAGCCAGCTGCTCCCACAGTTAGTAGAGGCGGGCATGGCCCGGAGACAGCACCCTCCGCATTAGTCAGGCCAGACAGACAGCAGAGAGGAAACCAGAGGCCAGAGAAGTGATTTTAAAAAAAGGAAAAAAAGAAGAGCAGCTTCGGTCACCAAAAAAATAGAAAGGATGATCTCTTAAAAATAAAACATGGGGACTTTTTTTTTTTTTTTTCTCTGCAATGCTCAGCCATTTTACTTGAGACGTTAAAAAAAAAAAGTTTTAGAGTAGTTGGTTTGCTTTTTTTTTCGGCTTAAACATTCATGAGAACGGATGGGACAGTAGTGCTGTGCTGTGTGTGTCTGGGCGGCAATGCTGGTCAGGGTCCTTCAGACCACATACTGGTACGGGTCTGCCTTCCCTTGGTCTGGCGTGGCAAAGGGGCTGGCCCAGCCTAGAGAGAAGGGGTGGCCAAAAACGGCTTTCATGTTCATCCACTTTGTTTTTTTAGCCCATCTTCTCTCTTCCTTTTTCAATTGTTCTATTCCCTGAAAACAAGAACAATCATACTTTCAGTCAAGCACTCTATTGCTGTGGTTTTGGGGGAGGGATGTCCATTAGCTTGAGATGAATGGAGTCAATGCTTCCTTTTAAAGCCATAAAGCTACCTACATCATACATTTTTCTTCTGTTTCTCTCATAGAAAGTGTCAAAGGAAAAAAAATCATGTTTTTTTGGGGGGGGAGTGGGGGTATGTGGGCACATATTTTACAAGTCCCTCTAGGAAGGGAGGGGAAAGTGAGCAAATCCACAGGCCGCTGAGCCAGGATTCCTACAGGCATGTGGATCCGGGGGGTTTTGCTAAGTGAAGGAGCCACATCTACACAGACTGGGCTCTGGCCTGGGGCTGGGCCTGGCTGTGTGTGGGGCTGCTGGCAAGGCTTTGGTGCAAGAAGCCTCAGAGCTGTCAGGGGCTCGGGATCGTGACAGCCAATGCTGGCCTTTAATTTGGGTAGGTTCAAGTTTGACACAACTATGACCACTTTGCAGACAAAAAAAAAAAGGAATAAATGAAATGACCGCTCTGGCACTGTTAGTCTCACCAGCCTGGGAGGTCAAGAAGCCCCCAGATTAGCGGGGCGGGCAAGGCAGACCTGAGAAGGTCAAACAGGAGTCAGAGACCATGGGTGAGGGGAGAAGCCACCACAGAGGAGGAAGGAAAGGGATTAGCAGAGGTTAGAGGGGCTGCCTGGACAGACAGACAGCCAGCCCCGGGCATGGCAAAGGTCTTCCCAGTGCTCCTCTGGAAGAAGCGAGGCCAGAGGCCACCTTGGTGGTTGTCCAGAGCCTGGGCTGTTCCCCCCACTGAGTCTCACAGGAAAAGCAGGCTGGAGAGGGAGCCTGTTCCCTCCCTTCTCCCCTCTTCCGATGGAGCCGGTCAGCGGGCAGGGCCTGAGGACATGCCCTTGCTCGGAGAACAGGAGAGAAGCGGCCTGGCAGGAGCCTGGCTGAGGGTCTGTCTGCCGTGGTCTCTGGTGAGGACGAGGAACCGGGAGGAGTCGGACGGGCCAGCCGAACTGAAGTCTCTGTTCAGGGCCAGGGAGCTGGGAGGGTTCAGGCCAAGGGGAAGACACGCTTTCCCCAGACACGCCCTTCCTTCTTTTCTGCTTTCCTTTCCAACACAATTCCCTTTAGGAATGGCCTGGAAGGAGAACAGCTAGGGCCAGGGCTGTGTGCGTTTTCCTTCTGGCTCCCCCAGACCTCGGCCTGTGTGACCTGGCCGCAGGCAAGAGTGGGCTGGACGGTCACCTCTGGGTTCCCTGTGACTCTTAGGCAGAGAAGCTGGTCACACCTACTGTTGGACACACAGCCGGGTCTACACCGTTGGCTACTATTTTTACAGAAACTCTTACAATGATATTATAATAAAAGATTAAAAACGTTGCTGAGAGCCCCTCCCCCATTCTTAACCATCGGGAATTCCCACAGATCCAAAAGATGGTGGCTTGGCGGTCAGGGAGTGCCAAACCCCGGATTTTTCACACCTGCAGAGAGGGGCCTGGGCGGCAGTGGCAAGGAATCTGTCTCCCTACGAGCCTCCATCTGACGCTGACTAATCAGCAGGCCCAAAGCCGCCCCAACAGGGCCTTAGATGACTGCCACCTGCCACTTGAGGGGGACCTTGGGAAGCCAGGAGGAGTGCCAAGAAGAGCCCAGGACCTACCTCATGCCTCTCCTCCTCATACCAAACTAAGTGCTGGCCCTTCCTCCCGGGGCCCCTCACCTGGAGCCCAGAGCCAAAAAGGAAGAAAGGCCCACATCACAGCAATGGACTGACCGACCACCTTGAGACTTTTGGACACTTAGGACAGACAGGTGGCCATGGCACCAGGGGATTGGGCTCCAGTCCTGCCCAGCCAGCAGCCTCGAAGTTCCCAGAGAAGGAGCTGTGGGTGGAGGTAGGGGTTGGGGCAGGGGGGAAGGGCAACAGACGAGAATCAGAGATGGACCAAGCAGAAGTACCTAGTGGCCAGGTGAGTGCTTGTGGCCCACAGCTCAGGGATGCTTGAGGCAGGCTGTTTCCTGACTCTGCCCTCTGGACCTATATGCATGGAGTCACCTCCTCCAGGAAGTTGACCTGCCCATTTCAGCTGGATTCAGGCCCCCTTTGTCCATCATCCTCTCTCCAGGCCTGTAGTCCTCAGATGGGAAGGGTGTCCCTGTGCCCAGTAGAGTGCCTGACACAGCACAGTGTGTAACAGACCCATATGCTAGGCCGCATTCCTGGTGTGACCTGCTGTGCCGGCCGCAAGGGAAGACTCCTGTGTGTGTGTGTGTGTGTGTGTGTGTGTGTGTGTGTGTGTGTGTGT